TCTCATTACTGCCACAAATCTCATTAAAAAACATCTTTGCCATTTTCCTTTCATAACTTTCATGAGACTGGCAAAACGTCTAGTAGTGAGCAGGCAGATTTAACAGTTCACCTTGAGAACTGCTGGATGATGCCTTACAAAACTGCGAGGTGCTATACACCATGCATTGCTGCTCCTTCTACCCATATTTAAATCCAAGCACCTCTTTGGACTGCATATACTAGAGAAGTTGTCTTTCAGGTACTCACCTGGCCTATATGCTATTAGCAGCAAGAGAGTCCCTGTGATTAATCTTAATGTGAATGTTTATAGACCTATGTAATAGTTCAGTTCTGACACAAACGAGACCAATGAAACTGAAACGAAACTGAAATAATTCACTGGAAAAGTGTTTCCAATACTAGTAAAAACATAAGTTTTGTTCTGATTTGAGATCAAATTAAAGCAAATAATTGCACATAGTCTGTTTGCAGTATTTACTCAGCTGGATATGTCAGATATACTGGTTTCTGACCTGCCAGTATTGGTAAGTATGAAATCCTTGTTTATGCTCTCTTACTTTTGCAGATCTCATTCTTGCTCTTTTTTATTCCTCTTTTCAATTCTTTCTTTACTGCCACATAGCCTATCTCTCTACTTTTTTTCATGTGTTTTCTTCCTCTAGTCTTTCTCTCCCTTGTGTATAATGTTCTTTTCCTCCAGACTTACCAGTGACCACCCATCATCTCCCAACAACCTCAGCCTTACGCTGCTTATCCTGTATCCACTGCTGAAACTGCAAGGGCTGGAAACAAAGCTGTTTGTTTAAAAAGCCCAGACCGCCAACAGCTTCCTTGGCTTGACTGAGAAGCGTATCTATACTTTTGGCATATGTTATCAGCTTTGAAGCCAGTCACCTGCAGAGCTAATGAATCGTTTGCAGTGTAAAAATGCTGATAGCCACAGGTGGGAGGCAGCTGGGGGTTGCAGAGGAATTAGATGTGGTAGGATTATAGCCCTTTGAGGGTTAGAAAGCACAAGGCATTTTATGAGAAAAAAGTAGAGCAAGTGCGAATGAAGAGGTAGGAGATAGGTACAACATGATACAGAACACTGATGGCACACAACTACAAAAGCAGTCTGTTGGCCTTGATCTGATGTTCCTGAAGGCAACTGCTTGCGCAGGCCAACTATCCGCTGCTGCGTCCCCGTGATCCCCGTCTCCGTGAGAAGAGCTGTGCTCTCTGTACGACAGTACAGCTTGAGCAAGACTCTTATTCACAATGGGCAGGGAAAGGGACGCTTAATGGCTTTTGGTTACATTAGCAGTTGTAAGTTCACCGCATCTAAGCTGCATTTCTTAATGTTTCCATGGTTCTGGAGAAGAAATTCAGCAATACTGGCGCTTTTGTCAAATTAAAGAGAGAAATCGCTGTAGGCCAGCCATAATGTTTGGTCTGTAAATTAGGATATATTTATTCAACCTTTTCTACTTTGTTCATGAAAGAGTTTCATTTAACAGTAAAAATATGGGGTTGTTTGAAGAATTTCTGAACTGTAATTGGTCTCAGGATATATATTTATTTTGGCCAGCTTCTTACTGCATGAAAACCTTGATTACTTTTAGAGGTAACATTGAGTTGGCTAAGCATGATACATTTTTCCAAACAGTATCATGTCTGCTTCTTTCAAGGCAGCTAAAACGAAATTTGCTGAGATAATACACTCTTAAGTGTTTTAAAAGTACACTTAAAGTGTACTGGGATGGGACACTTTAAGTAGTTAAGCATGCTATTGCAAACTGAGTTGCCGTTCTTAGAAAAATTGCGTCAAAAGTTATCTGAAAGTACAAAAAATAGTAAGATGGATAAAGTGAAATAAATGCAAGTTTTTGTAATAGAGCTTACATAAAATTCTCTAGGCCAGATTAATACTTCACAGTGGCAGTGCAGAATAGGCAACAGCTCCAGCACCTTTCCAGTTAGTGAAATTATGAGTAATGTTCCCGTATTAGAGAAGCATTCCTTTAACAATTTCAAAGACAGTTCTAACAACCTGCTTTTTGATGATAAACCTTGGCAAATTCCCTCAATGGCTAGTGATAAATACAGCTCACAGTTTCTTGCCTTGCTGTTTTTACTTTGTAGGAAGCCAGGTCTAAAGCCCTCTTAGACTTTTATCTGCCCTTAGGATTCAATTTCCTTTCGAGTTGTGATTTGGGATTAATCAAAGCAGGAATCACAGTTATGATATTATTTTCCATAAAAGGAAATGATTTTGCAGGCTATCCAACTTTTCTTTATTCTTTTCACTACCTTAATTCATCTTTCAGACTTTCATATCCCTCAGCAGATGCCCTTCACCAAGCAACACCTTATTATTATTTCTATTGTTTTGTCTTCCAAATCATTCTTTTTGCAACGCAGAATTTTTACCAGTTTCATTTTTTCTGGACACAAAAAATGATCAGAAGGGTTTTCTTTTTCTCCTAAGCAATTTACCTTTACAAATACATTTTGACTGCAAGAAAATCTGAGGAAAATCTATTTTATAGTATTTAAAGTAAAACCTCGTATTAGATACCATTTTACTGTTCATGCTACTACATCTGTCTCTATATTTTCTAGAGGATGGCAGACAAGTTTGAACACTAAACACCTATTCAATTTTCATATCTCACGTACACTTCTTAATAATATTAATACTCATATATAATAATATATACTCATATGAAATTGTCCAGGTAATTCTCTGACCATTCAGAAAGCTTTTCTCCAATCTGAGTATCAATACCATTTTGCCTTTAAAACGTATCACTAAGCTCTCTGCTTAAAATTATTCATATTTCATATCTGGGCTCTCTGTCACACAAAATTACTGAAACAAAGCCACCTCCCTTGATAATAGGGATATTTATTCCATTTATTTGGATAAGGAAGGGGAACAGTCATCTCTGTCCCAAGACAGGACCTCTAAAATGAGGAGAGATTAGAAAGAGAAATGAAGCTGAATTTCTATTCCCATTCAACTGACACAATTCCCTTTTTATTCAAGCAAGATATGGGATGTAGTAAAGAATGCAATAAAGGTGAAAGACTTGATTCAAACCCTTTAGGCAAATTTCCTCTTGTACTGCAAGAAGATATGGCCGTCAAACCCTACTAGCAATGCACTTCACATGCATGGCTTTATGATAACCAACGTCCTGTGCTGGCTCATTCAGCATCCTGAACATTGAGAGTGGTCTGACATGGAAGTCTAATTGGAAGTTTTGATCTGAATCAAACAATTACCAGAACTGCTAAACTAACACAAAGAACAAAACCCCTGATTATGCAAGGGTGCAGTAAAGGTACAATGAAGGCAGAAGCATTCTCCTACTAATTTTCTTGTGTATATCAATCTCAGCTTGTGTAAGGTTTAAACTTAATGGATCCTTACCAATCTCTTAAACCTTTCTACCAACTAAGAAGTTATTTAAATTAAAAGAAAACGAAAGCAAATATAGAGCCACAAACATCATTATTTTGGAAAAAGCAATAACGTTTGGCATGATGCAAATAAGGCCCACCAAGACAATCTTGACTGCAGTGGTATTATAAACAGCATTTTGCACACAAAGACATTAGAAACTTCACAAATATTAGTAAAATCATACAATATACTTGTGGAAAGGGTATCATTTTACATACTGAACAAGCAATACATAAAGAAGTTGAGGTATAAAAGAGTTAAGCAAGTTGTTCAAGTTCACAAAGGAAGTCTGTTGCAAATTAAGAACAGAAGTCAATTGTTCAGTTCTCAGTCTGTATCTTACCCTTAAAATCATCATTTCTCCCCTTCAGATTGTTTTTTCGGACTGTAGTAGCTGCATCGCATAATTTGCTAACCCCTGGCACAAGATTACACTTCTACATTAAATAGCCTTTTGCAAACAGAAAAGTTTTATTAACACACAGAATTGTAGAAACAAACAAAAGCAGAAGAGCTTACCCAAATCCAGAAAACAAGCGACAGAAGAGGAAGAAGCCATAGCCCTGGACAAATGATGAAAGGAAGGCAAAGAATCCATTGACAGACATGCATATCAGGAGTGACTGTCTCCTTCCCACCTTGTCTGCCAAGCCTCCCCAGAAGAATGCCCCCACCATCATCCCAAGGTACACTATGCTACCTGCAATACACAAAAAAAAAATGTCGTTTTGTGAGCTACATTACTGAACACAATTGACCACACCAAAAAAGTCACATGTACTTGAATGATTTGCTTTCAGCAATCTTCTGTGTTTATAAAATAAATAGCATAGAGATTAATTTTTCCTTTCTCAACAAGTAGAAAGTGTGTGCACATCTTTGCACACGTACCTGGGCAGAATAGGTTTCCTATTGTGTCTGCATCATCTGCTAGTAGGCATACTGAAGCTTAATAAAACTATTGAATGAGGTGCCTCTAGCTAAAACAAATAAAATACAGGCAAGTAAGACTGAATAGGAGAAAGAATGCCACCCTTTCCTCAGAGATAAACTGCATTCTTGTTAAATATGGCAAAATTAAAACCTGCCCTACAGAAACAAACTGCATGAACATTTCTAGAATACAAGCAACTCTGCAGAGGCTTAATCAGTGGGAATAAAATGTCCTAAGTCTGAAGGAAAGTGATTAGGAAACAACACTTTCTGTTTGAGAGCTACAGCATCAAAGATGTCCAGCTTGACTGTTCTTCCTCCCTCCCGCTGCAATGTGCTGCTTTACTTTAAAAGGTATTATCGTGTATAAAGAAAAATGCTAGAACAGTTTTATTTCCAAAGAACTGTGAACAGATACATTACGATTTAGCTAAATGCATTAAAATGAGACAGTGAAAAAATCATTTTAGGGTGATTCTTTTTTTAAGTCGATGATGTTTTCAAAGTAACTTCAGAAGTAACTTGAAAGATTTAGCACTCTGACCATTCACATCTTAGCATACTGTACATTATTTCCTTTCCAAGGACGAACCCTTCTGTGGGACACTACATAAAGATGCACAACTCATTAAGCAGACTGTTAGAAGCACGAGTTGTTCCTAAGTTTAGATAGATCCATCCAGATTTGTATTTTGTTTTGATACATGTATTATTCCTTCTTCTAACTTTCTACTTCTTATTGAGCTTCCCAGATTGCGCTTCATCTATGTAATGCTTGCTGCTATCTTGTAAGTTCGCTACAGAGCAAGATTTAAATGCAGAGTAGCTGGAAGCAGCTAAAATAATAGCAAGCCTTGTCCTGTGACTCTCTGAGGAGGGAAAAGGCCCCAGGAACTGCCAGGCTGCCGGGCAGCTCAGCTGGGCTTCGCCTCTCCGCCTTTCAAGTTCTGGACTTCAACAGAATCAGCTCTGTCCTGCAGAAGGGAAAGGAAAGTGAAAAAACGCATGAATGTGTGGGCTTTGTTAACTGAGTATTAACCTAAAGGTCACTCATCGGTATTTCTATGCTTGGAATTCCTTGTGTTAACACCCGAACTGCCAGGGCAAACCGCTGCTGAAGGCTCTCATGCCCTGCAAAATATCCCTCTTCCCCCTCAGGTTTTGTACAATTAGTTTCCCCCACGCTGCTTCCTTATCAGGCATTATTCTAAAACATCTGATATAACACTCATGACTTTAAATTTATATTAGTAAGCTACACAGTTATATTTTGCTTAGGTAAGTAAGCTATTCCTATTACATTTATGACAACTAAGCACCCGTGCGGACTTTCACGTTGAATACTACAGTGATAAGAAAATGTCGGCCACAGTCACAGAATCACAGAATCGTTTAGGTTGGAAGGGACCTCTGGAGATCACCTAGTCCAACCTCCCTGCTCAAGCATATTGCTCAGGGTCACATCCAGACGGGTTTTGAATATCTCCAGCGAAGGGAGACTCCACTACCTCTCCGGGCAACCTGTTCCAATGCTCTGTCACCCTCACAGTGAAGAAGTTTTTTCTCAAAGTCCCTGGAGGCTTTCTTACATTTCATATTTTTAAATAAAAATAATGCTATCTATATTATAAATATAGAATAGAAAACAATAATATGAAGCTTATTAGTATCCGTTAGTTGTTTCTAAATTCAAGGTCCCTACAGAGTAACCACCATCTGAAGTTGTCTCTGAGCACTGATTTTACATTTTGAACTATGAGTCAGTATAAAAGATGTGTAAAATCACAGAGAAAACTCTGCAAAGTGTAAGCTGTAAAAGGCTCATGCATCCTGTCTATCCAAGAAAATATATGGAATATTTTCCTCTTCTGAGAAGTAGCTAGAGATGGAATTTCAGAAATACGAATGCGCACGGAGGCTTTGCATCAATCACATGGAGCACGCACAATGTATCATGAAAAGAACAGACTGAAAAATACAGACCAAATTTCTATCATTTGCATTTTTTCATTTTCTGCATGACTCAGGTAACTTTTGAAATCAGAGAGCTGTGCTTCTTCCAGGTACAATGTAAACCTATATTAATATACATACACACATACATACATACATACACACACACACACACAGGCACACACACACACACACACACACAAACCCTGTATACAGAAGCAGTAACTACATCAGATTATTCTTGTAGGTTTGTTCCTACTTCATCTTCCTTATGGAAAGAAATCAGCCTCTTGTAATTTCTGATTCGAATAACGAATTTGATATACCTCAGTTACCTGGATCAGAAAAAAAATCTGTCATGCCTCAACCTAGGCAATGCAAAGCAGAGGAAAACTGCTACCCCCTTCACCATCAGTTGTGGCCAATACCAGCAAATGAATCTTTTCTGCAGCTGCTTCCCTTTTTAGCCAATAATAAAATAAGAACAAGATATTTCTAGACTGATTGTGTTCTTCATGAGTCCATAAAGAAAGGATGTCAGATCCATCGCTGCTCATCGTAAGAGCATTAACTGTATCTTTACCTAGGCAAAACCAATAAGCTTATAAAGAAAAACAACAGTGAAATTGCTTCCTAAGATAGCTTTTGCTGCCACTCATTTTCTAGCTATTACTGTAATCTTAATTTTCCATCTTCAGAGAAGACAATACAGATAAATCCAGAATTTTCAGAAGTCCTGAGATATCTTTGTTTTCTTTCATCTTATGCTTTAGCCCAGGAAGGACACAGACACTATAATACTCTCTTTGGTTTAGAGGTGTTTAGTGACAGACTCTTACCAGATATCTCCTGCATTCTGATCTGAAATTTTTATTCTAACACTTGGGATTTTCTTGAAAGCACATACACAACTTATACATGTTCTGGTCCTACAGAGACAAAGTTTGGTGAGTAATTTGGCACAGTTGCTCAACTGCAGTAAGATCTCTCTTGTGGGTAAGATTAGTATCCCACACTCCAGGTAGGCCAGTACTCCGAGTCTGGAAACTCCATGCAGCAGAGCTAGTGCTTGTTTGGCAACGTGAGCTGAACGAACTTAGCAAAAATGGTTCGAAAGCTGCATTGGCAGCAACTAAAGTGGTTAACCTTCACTCTTGAAGCTGAAATTCTTTACTACGGTATTTTACACTGTCCATTTACAGCTACATTTCATTAGGTTATCCCAATCAACACTCTAATATTAGAAATACTCACAGAAGGCCTGTCAAATATTTTGGGGTTTCTTTATACAGCTATCTTTGAAATATTCTTATGCAAATAATCTTTGTTTAACCAAATAATTGCTCTCCTTGAGAAATATAGAAAATTTTTTACAAGTTAAAAAAAATCAAAATTCTCTGAACACAGTTCATTTTTTCTCTTCTAGATTTTCTTTAGATTTTATTATTTATGATCATATCATCATAGCTTCTCTGAAACTAGCCTAAAGTTCCCCATTTTAAGATCTCAACTTTGATTCCTTTCTTCTCATGAAAGAAAACAGTTTCCAAGTTTTGGTGGTTTGAAAACATTAACCTTTCTCTTATATTAAATCCTTTGGTCATCAGACTGTGTTTTGGCTTCTCTCCTATGCATAAAAGTCTCCTGAAGGGCATTCAAAATAAAGCTGCTAAAAATAATATTCTCCTCCTTTCAATAAACTTCTATAAATAAGCTCCTCTCTCAACCCCACCATTATCTCATACGTTCTCATCATATTATTTTTGATTTCTTCCTAATTGCCTTGTGAGTCCTCAGTTAGCTCCCCTGCCAAAGATTTGTATCCCTTCCATCCTCAGCCTACTGCAGCTAGCTACCCACAATACCTGCTTCACTGTATTTTCCTGTCTTTCTTCCTTTTTTAAAATTTTGTTTCTCTTGATACCAAATATATCTCTGGACCCACACCATGAAGCCAGTCCCCTTACTTTCCACGTTCAGATCATTCCTTTAGGCCTTTTTTCTCCCACTATTCACAAAAAGCACTAGAAGTAACCAATGGAGAAGGAGAATTCCAGCTCTGAACAATTAAATAGCTGAATGACCACATAACAAATGCAAGTAACCAATGGCATCAGTTTATCATTTTACCCTTCCTCATCCCTTTCCTTCCAACCTTTATAGCTCTTGTTTATCATGTCATGCCATTAGTCAGAATATAAAACTCAGGGGAAAATGCTGTTTCATAAATCACTTATTACATTTTGCACACTGCAGAAATAGGAATTTCAAATATGTAAAAATTGAATACCCAGTTATTGGTCGGACCCTGCTCTCTTTCCTCATTACCTTTAAACATCAGTTATAAAAAATAGTGAATGTACAGGTATACATATACGCATCTAGATTTTAATCCAGCCTGTCATCTCGACAGTGATGCTCCCTTTTTGTGCAACTACTACTGATTATAAAACTGGCTGCTTGTCTTTTTCTTTCTGGTATAGCACACTTGTGCCTCTAAAGGAGTGCACAGGTCCTGTGCTCATAGAGCACAGGACACACACGGATTTCACATACAGCATCATCCAAGAAACATATTTTAGAAAATTAAAGTTTATTTTAAAATACAAAGACTACTAACGGAATCCTTAACAGAATTCTTTGTTCCCCTACGAAGTAACATATAATCTCAGCAAACTCTGTCGTTTAGTGGAAAGTTGCTGAGAAGAACCAAGCGGCAGCTGAAAAAAAACCTTATCCCACGCTAAAATGAATATTCTCTGCTATTGCTCTTTTACCAAGTTGTAACACTCTCTGTCTTCTTTCCACAGCAGA